AAGAGAAAAAACGTACGTTGTGAAATCCTCATATTCCAGACCTGTAAATGTCAAACGATCACCTCGATGTCGCATCATGTCCATAGGAACCTAGAATGAACATATCGTGTTTTAAAAAAGGCAACAACATCAACAACAACTTGCCATTTCTCCCCAATTTCTCCTGTTTAGTGTGTCGGACCAAGCTTCATACGGATCTTTGTGGTCATAAGTTACCACACCCAGATCCGGATAGTCACCAGCATAACGGACTACATCGTCTTTGTTCATTGGTTTATAATCTTCTGGTCGAAGACCATACCTAAGACACGCAGTGTGATAATCTCAAAGACTATCATAAGTTGTGAAGAGGCCGTTATAGTGCAGGGATTTCAAAGTTTGAGGTTAGCTTCAAAAAATAAGAAAAAAAACTGAACTGATTTATGAGTGGAGCTATTCATTTAAAGTGCCGCAGGTAATAAATTTGCTACAACTAAGTTTTATAAATTTAGAAAAAAAAATACGGGAAAAAGTCATTTCAAACATAGGAAAATGGCGGAACAATAAAGTGTATTTCTTTTTTCATAGATCGCAAAATCATTTCCCAATAATTTTTCAAAAAAGGTTGTTGGGAAGTGGTTATTCCTCAACAAAAGAATACTTGATAAAAGAACCTATTCAAGTACTATGTTTTGGAAACAGCTATGAAATTATGAAATCATTGTCAGGTGTTTGGCATAAACGGAAATAGAGATAGTTGACAGCTTACTGCTACAATATTGAGTAACTGATTGTAAGTCCCCCCCTCCCCCCTGAAAATTACAGCCTATTTTTGCAACGTCAAAATACACATTTTAAACAAAAAAGACCATCTCTTCAAACAACCTATGAACACTTTGTAGAAAAAATATTTAGGCGAGGTTGAATAAGAAGCCCTAGTTTCCGAGCAACATTCATCATAAAACTGTCGGAATATCTTTGAATCAAAAAATGAGCTTGGACAAAATCTTACTAAAGAAACGTACTTAATAGCAGCAGCTCGCCGCTCGTCCTCAGTAACGGCATATTGTCCTGGCTTGTGATCCCGAGGATACCAACCATCAAACGTGAGTGGCCCACGCACTAAAATCTTCAAAAAAGCGTAAAGAAAAAAGAGAAAAAAAAAGAAAAAAAGCACTTCTTGAGAAGGTATCGCTACACAGATTATTTGTAGCTTTCTGGAAAGAATTATGCTTCAACTATACAAAAAAACAGAATGATAGGTGACTCACGAAAGAGCAAGCGAGAGGTATGGATGGAACGCCGAGAAACTGCCCTCAACGGCGGAGCGAGCATACCTAAAAAGAAGAAGCGTGACACTAAT